AGCTACCCTGACTCCCACAAAGTCCTTTACTCAGGTGGTTAAATACTGAATCCTCTATTTTCTGGAATGGACCCCGGGTTTCCTGAAGATGGGGGAGGAATAGAGGAGGCCCAGGTGCCCTAAGAGGAGATTTGTGATGACTGTTGTGTTATACAGGTGGGATACCGTCTGGGGCCCTGGATTTCCCAGCCCTAAGTTTCTAGCTCCCTATCCTCCTACTTCCCTCCCGTGTCATCCCTCTCACCCCCCCACATTTTTCATTCTTGCAGGATGGTACTGCAAGGCTTTCAAGTCTGCATTCTGCCTCCCCCCACATTTGTTTGGTGCCTAGGCCTATATCTGTTGCTGGTCTAAGCTGAAGTTAATGGAGTTGCACCTGACTCTGTCAGCAGTGAATGTGACCTCATCTATGGGAACAGGAGTCATTAGAGAAAGGAGCTGTATAGAGTAGCAGTTGTTTGGGGTATACTGAAGCAGTGAGGATAGGCTGGAGGGCCTCACAGGGAGAACGTTAACAGGCTGAAGAGTGGCGTTTGGAAGGGGAGCTTTTTCCTCAGTACCAGCCACCGCAGCAGCAGGTAGTTGGGCATCAGCTTGTCAGAAGTTTAAATTTTAAATACACTGACAAGTGATGTCCACAAACAAATGAGCAGTCCAGGTCATCTGAAAGGAGACTGACTGCGTCCCATGATTTCCTCTTCTCAGCTCTGATCTAAAAGCCAAACCCACATACCACCTTTTGGTCAGGTCTGCATTAAAAGAGTCTATTTCAGTAAAGCTATGCTGGCTGAGGGCTGGTCCACACTAACGCCCCACTTCGAACTAAGATATGCAACTTCAGCTACGTTATTCACGTAGCTGAAGTCGAAGTATCTTAGTTCGAACTTACCGTGGGTCCACACGCGGCAGGCAGGCTCCCCCATCGACTCCGCGTACTCCTCTCGTGGAGCAGGAGTACCGGCGTCAATGGCGAGCACTTCCGGGATCGATCCGGGATCGATTTATCGCGTCTAGACAAGATCGATTGCTTACCGCCGGACCCGGAGGTAAGTATAGACGTACCCATAGACCGCTAGTGTAGACACTGCATATGCTGATAGAAGGAGTTCTTCTACTTCAGTAGTAGCACATCAACCTTGAGTGATTTTAGCTAAGCCAACAGAAAGACTCTTCTGTCGGCTTAGTTGCATCTGCACTACTCCATTCCGCTGGCATAGCTGGACTGCCTAGAACAGTGGTGGGCAACCTGCGGCTCATCAGGGTAATCAGCTGGTGGTCTGCAAGACAGTGTTTACATTGACTGTCCGCAGACCCACCACTGGCCTAGAAGGTATGAATTTTTTCACACTGCTACGTGACATAGTTATGCTGGCATAACTTAGTAGTTTAAACCAGGCCTTTCTCAACAGACCTGTTGCAGTAGGTTTGGCAGCCTCCTCCCTGCAACTCCTGCAATCAGCTGGAAGATTCTCCCCTTCCCCTTGTTTTCTGATTCCCTTCTCCCCCTTCTACTCCCCAGGGAAATGCGGATTGTGTAGAAATGTGGTGTATTTAAGTATATCTGCCCTTATTTTTCAATTTGACTTCATTCTGTTTAAAAAAAATTGAATGGGGAAGAAAAGGTTAGGGTCCATAATAGCCCAATGTCAGTGTTTTGGGGAAAATGCAGTTCCAAACCTGCTGAATAACATCTGTCAGGGTTTCTGCTTCTGCAGATCCATTGCCTTCTGCTACTGCCTCCCTGCTTCTACTACAAGAGAACCCTGGCAAATATCCTCACACACATTGTTAAATGGGATGAGGCTCCTTTCTTTTACATCATAGCGAAGCAGGAACCCCTTACCTTTTTTTCTGCCTGCAAAATACGAGTCTCTCTCTCTTTCAAGGAATAGGCCCATATTCTGATGTTATTAATCTTTGCCAAAACCCTCACTTAAACTATGGCTCAGAGGTGCAGTAACACTGTAGCCTTATCGTTTTTTCTAGTTTTCACACATCATTTATTCCACTCTCTTTCCTCCTTTTCTCATTATAACTCTGAACCATTTTCTCCCCCATTTCTGTTTTCTACTATGAATCTGTGCCCGCCCCCACCCCCAGTTTTTCTCTCAGCCTGGGTGCAACCCTCAGTCTTACTTTCTCACAATCTCTTCTGACCTGTTCTCCCTCTGCTCAGTTAGTTGTTGTCTCCATTTGTTTTTCTCTTTCCTACTTTCCCTTTAGCCCTCAAGGCTCCTGTTCAGGCCAGTTTCAGCCTCCTCCCACTGGAGATCCCTGAGGTTCTAGTTCAAGCTGCCACCAGCTGCGTCCACTGCCTTTCCCCTATTCTATCTGTGACCTCTGTGGCTCTTATAAGTGTAGCTGTTATCTGCCTCCTGCAGCCAGCATCTGAGACAGGCTGCCTTAAGGTGGGATTTTTTCAGAACTTGGCATGCTTCTCTTGCTGGGCACAGCTTCACCTTGGTGCAAGTTCAAGGGCCATCTCTGGTCCTGCACTGGCTTGCTTAATTTGAAATATGGATGAGTTGAAATTCCAGTAAAGCTTGAATATCTGAGCACTGAAGATTCACAAGCCAGAAAGCAAGTAAAAAAAAAAAACACTTCAGTGTACTGCTTGTCAAATCTCATGCTTTTGGGGGCTTGACTCATGATTTGTTGAATGCTTGGGCCTGGCAATACTGAAGGAATGACTCCTCTTCCCCCAGCACTCCCAGGAAGTTTCTTTCTAGCAGCTTCAGAAACTTAAGATACGTCTACATTGCAGTCATGGGATTTTGTTGCAACTCGTGTGAATGTATCTGAGCTAGCTTTAATCATGACTGCAGCACAGATATACTTTACTTTATACTACTTTATTTTTCCTTTCTTCTTCATTGTGTAGCTGCAAATAGTTCCCAAAGTGGTATCTCAATGAGAACCCCATGAGTTATAAAATAGATATTCCTGAACTATCTGCAGTAGTTCCAGATAAAGTAGTGATCCATTGCTTCATAACAGAGACTACTCTCTGGTCTTCCTGCCCAGCAGCATAAAATTGGGAAATATTACATTTGTCTGCTTACTGAGCATCTCAAGGGAGAGAATTTCTCAGCCCCAAAATAGAATTCTGCATATAGTTGGTCGACCTTGAGAAGGCTTTGCACAACTGCGTTCCCCTGTCTGTATGTAACACCATACATTTTAAATGCCACATCTGATCAATTCCAGGGAATATTCTAGGCATGAGTGTATCGATTTACAGGCAAAATTGAAAAACGGAAAGGAGGAAAATGGGGGACATGGAGCCCCTGACATCTGTTTAGCACAACAGCTTCCACTTTCTCTCCAGTTGTCTATAAATCAAACTGGTTGAAGGCACCCATTAATATCTTCCAGTATAACAGTATCCCATCTCATCTCTCCTCATTCTTCCAGTAGCTTAACATGTTGACACCCTGAATGACAGATGGAAATAAAAATGATGAGGAAGAGGAAATGCGGGATGGGAGCATACACAGAGCCCCTGGAATGGGAGGACCCTGGTATAGGGGAGGCAGTGAAACATACAGTCCATGGTGGGAGGGAACTTGGGGGACCCTGGTATAGGGGAAATGAAGGTGCACACAGAGTCCCTGCCATGAGGGGAAATGGGGGTGGGGATGAGGACGCACAGAGTAGACTCATAGACTCTAAGGTCAGAAAGGGACCATTATGATCATCTAGTCTGACCTCCCGCATGATGCGGGCCACAAAAGCTGACCCACCCACTCCTGGAATAATTCTCTCCCTTGACTCAGCTGTTGAAGTCCCCAAATCATGATTTAAAGACTTCAAATCGCCAAGAATCCTCCAGCAAGCGACCCATGCCCCATGCTACGGAGGAAGGCGAAAAACCTCCAGGGCCTCTGCCAATCTAACCTGGAGGAAAATTCCTTCCCGACCCCAAATATGGCAATCAGCTCAACCCTGAGCATGCAGGCAAGATTCTCTAGCCAGATACTCTGGAAAAAGTTCTCTGTAGTAACTTTTAATATCCCATCATTGACCATTGTTACTAATTACCAGCGATGGCACATTATTGACCTATTGACTAAAATCACGTTATCCCATCAAACCATCCCCTCCATAAACTTATCAAGCTTAATCTTAAAGCCAGAGAGGTCTTTTGCCCCCACTGTTTCCCTTGGAAGGCTGTTCTAAAACTTCACCCCTCTGATGGTTAGAAACCTTCGTCTAATTTCAAGCCTAAACTTCCCGACGGCCAGTTTATATCCATTTGTTCTTGTGTCCACATTAGTACTGAGCTGAAATAATTCCTCTCCCTCCCTGGTATGGAGCGGAGGGATGGATAGGGGACACGGAGAGCCCCAGGCATGAGGGACAGGGTGGGGGAAGTTACAGGGAGTCCCTGAAATAAAGGAGGATGGGAGCTTATGGAGTGGAATGGAGGAATGCTGGTGTGTGCAGTCAGCTCGGCCTACAGAAGCTACGAAACGTGCAACCGCCTAGTGATACACACTTTACACAGAAAGCAATAGGATAATCTAAACAGAGAGGTAGAATAATAATAAGACAAGTCTGGTCTAGTGTGTTTTCTAGAGATTGTTCCTCTTGATTCTGGTTGATGGGACAACTCTAAAAATACACATATAAAATAATCTTATGTAGCAGTCCGATCATCTATAGGTTTCTTGCGAACATGTAATTTATTGTTCTCTGACTCCTCTAGGTCCACAGCAGAATAAGCTACAGGTTCCTTTTTTCTTAGTGCAATACAGATTTTTTTTTTTAATTGTCTGTTATTGAATGGAAACATGGCCTTTTAGAGCACTCTGGTTTCTGTGGTGAATTTGCATTCATTACATATTATATATGAATCTTCTGAATTCTAAATCTTTCATTGCTCATCTGGGAATGTATTTTTGATGTTCCGAACTAGAAACCAAGCTTGGCACCAATAAGTACTTAATGACACTAAGTACAAGCCTTAACTGACACATTTTCCTTCTATTACATAACAGAAACTGGATCTGCAATTACTGCTTCCTGCATCGGTTTGGGAAACTCTACAACTCCTCCACCAGGACAGGCAGGAAAATCAGTGCCAGGATACAATGGTAAGAATGTGCAGTGTATATCAATAGGGGAGGAGGTTATTTGCACTTCTGAGAGAGCTCAGCATCTCACAAGATCAGGGTTTAAGATTGCAGTTATTGTTTAACAATCTAGGGCCAAAATTGGTCTCTGCTCAATCAGCTTTGTACCTCTCTGGTTTAACTGGCTACTTAACTGGGTGAATGTCCATGTGACATAGGGTCAGCATAGTAGTTCCTCACCGATGTTTCTTTATTTTTCCTTCCTCCCCAGTTTGGCTGGGGAAAAAACATGATTTGGGAGCTGACACATCCTGGAGATCCCATTGTGTATGTTACCAATTGGCGCAATTTAGAGCAGCCCTGATGCTATTCCATGTTGCCCCTTGGAACCAGTCTAGTGGCTCCAGAATGGACTTAAAGCCATTTTCTCTCTCTCTCTCTCTCTCTCACATGCACACATGCAACTTTTTGACCTGTGTCAGGTTCAGAAGCATCAGTTCTTACAATCAGACTCCAGTATCCAGTATGATTAAAATTACAGCAACCACTTAATCGTATGGGTTTTAATTTATCCTGTATCCCTTGAAGATGCTTGCATCTTTCAGGAAGTGCTCAAAAACTCACAAGGTCAGACCCGTAGCAATCTGCATTATTAGCAAACATTCCTTTCCATCTTTCAACTGTTAGTCTTACGCATTCCTTATGCTCCCAAAATTTCTCAGGCATACAGTTAGATTTGAAAGTGCACAAGGAACTGCAGTTGTCATTGTACTGTTGAGTCTGAAGGTTTGGAATGCCTGCATACAAAGGGGCAATGGATATTATGAAATATTCAAATCTTCAAACCATAATCTGCAGTAATCTAGTGTTAAATCATAACCAGCAGTGACATTGTTTTTTAGCTGTTAGGAAAAATAGTGTTAATAGTGATCATCTTTATAATTGGTGGAGAGGGAATAGTAGCTAGACTAAGTAGCTAAATAGTGCTTTAAGAACGTATTGTCATACTTGTACCTTACATCTATGACTACATGTGTTATTCAGAGGCTAAATGGTTTTGCTTGTTGGACATATACATTGTACATATATGTTTAATAAACACACTAATCTGATCTTGTTCTGCACAACAATTTAATATAAAAACTCACCTGATTTTAAGTGTATAAAGATTCTTCCTGAAGTCTGTGACCTCTACAAATATGTAATGATGAACTGAAAAGCAACATGGTAAGGGTATAAATCTTGTCTATTTGTACCTGCCTCACATCCTCATTAATTTTATCAAAGAAGACAGTGTTTGTGTTCAGACTTGTACAGGGGCTCATATTTGAGAGAGTTGTTAAACACGTTATGTTTCAATACCTATGCAGCATTTTTATTTCTAGCTGTATGAAATTATAGACTGTGAACCAGCATAGGGCTTAAAAAGTGAGAGCTTTCATTGTTTGGAAGGTATTTGCATGCAGAGTGCGCAGCCATGAGATGAAGAATTCTAAAATATTTTTATACCTGGGAACTCTGATTTTGACCCAGAGTGTTCAGGAATTACTTCAAGAAGGACACATAATTAGTTTTTTTTCAGGTCAAGCCATCTACAGGAGGAGTGCTCACATTCTTGGGAAGGAACGGTTGGCTGACTTTCTTCTAACAAGTAGAAGTGAACATGAACATTAAAAAAAATAAAGATTTTCAGCTGCCCTACACTTTGGCACTAGTAGTTATTGTATGAAGACAAACAATGAATGAAAGATGAAGTTAGAGAAAAGGCTTAAAGTTTGACCAGAGCTCTAATAAGCAGGGAACAATGGCAGAATATAATTGCATCAAACCTGTTCCCAAAGCTCTGTAGTCAGGCTTAGCAAGAATACGTGGGACGCACATATGCAGAGATTTTAAATGAATTCTGCAAAACCTGCTGTTAGAGTATCTAAAAACTTCCTTCTAAATGGATGAAAGGGAATTGCAGAAGAACATCAGACTTATGAATATCAGAGTTACAAACTGATCAGTCAACCACACACCTCATTTGGAACTGGAAGTATGCAATCAGGCAGCAGCAGAGACCAAAAACAAAAAACAAAAAAAATCCAAATACAGTGCAGTACTACTTTAAACGTAAACTACTAAAAAAAAATAAAGGGAAAGCAGCATTTGTCTTCTGCATAGGAAAGTTTCAAAGCTGTATTAAGTCAATATTCAACTGTAAATTTTTGAAAGAAGAACCATAACGTTTTGTTCAGAGTTATGAACAACCTCCATTTCTGAGCTGTTTGTAACTCTGAGGTTCTACTGTACTTTAAAATAGACTACAAAATGAACGCACATTCATGTATGTTCCATAAGGGAACAGATGTCACATTTCCTTTCTAACCAATGGTTCAGGACCACTTATTGGAAAAGTTTACAAATCCTGTAACCCTGCTGTTAATGAAATACAGGACCTTGAAATCACTTCTGATTACTATCTCACTTTTCCTCACTTCAGTTGTGATATGACTCTAGCTGTTGCTTCTTTAGCTACTAGTTTGTGATAAATGTTTTATGCCATTTAAAAGACGGACTCTGTGCTTTCTGATAGTATAAAATTGCATTAGTAGTTCTCTGGACAATGGTTGCTGAAGTCATGATACCTTTAAATTGGATTTGGGGAAGTAAAATCGGAAGAAATGCCCTTTTACCCCCACCCCCCAATGGCCAAATTCTTTCCTATTATACCATTGTAAATACAGAGTAAAGTATATTGTGTGAAGTGACTCCAGCTTTACATTGGGGTAAATGAGAGCAGGATTCAGCCACAGTTCAAGATTCAATGTTGGGTGACCAGGTTAGGCTATGAATGCTGCATACCACTGGAAAACTAATTTAAACCTGAATTAATTTTTTAATAATATACCTCATTCATTTCTAGCTCTGATGTTTTCTGAGATCTGACCTATTTGGTATTGGTCCCTTGGTCTATATGTTTGTTTGTTATTTATCCAAGACAAAATACAGCAAGTTTTGGATTTGAGGGCAGTAAATACCCTGAATATAGGTTGGTAGCCATGTAATTCAGGAATACTCCTAAACTGCTGTTCTTTTTAAAAAATTTCTAAAAATCTTGGAAACCTAAATACATAGCTGTCAGGAAACAAAATCTAATATGAAAAACTGATGTTAGCACCTTGATAAACAAATTACATTAAACTGAGGACTCGAATGCATCCAAAACAAAAACCAACAAAAAAATGTAAGTTCTTGAAACTGTGATATGAGTAAGACTATCTCCTCCTACTATATGAGTCCAAGTTTTCCAAGTCTAACTTGATGGATTTTTCTTATGTTACTTGAACAGGTACAAGCAACAAATAGTGTTTACAGAATTTGTAGTCATTGCCCAGGAGAATGGAAGCTTCTTGTTAGCATCCCAGACTTGCCCTCCCTCGAATAGAGGGGACAGGATGACCTCTGAGTTCCTATTTATCCTTCGCAGAACCTTTCTTAGCTTACCTTTTGTCTGTCTAATTAACCCTTCCAATTCTTGGGCCTTTATTTGTCCTTATGCCAAGCCTCTGACCCATTGTCTGTGACAGGCTATGCAGGTGTTAAAATCACTGTCCTTGCTGAAGGAGTGGTTTCAGACAGCAAAGATCAAATTTCAGCAGTCCTGGAGTCTGTGTATTAGGTAGGCACAATGATACTTCAAAGGTCTGTTGGCAGATGTGGGTATCTCTGCTCTCACCTCAACTTTCTTCCTTATTGTCCAAGGCTGTTGTAGCAGGATGGACCTAGCTGGACGTTCCTGTCGCAGGTCAGGTCAACTGCACCTGTATTCCCCTATGGAGTCCAGCAAGGGCATCCGCTTTTAGGCTCCCTGTTCCTCAGCTGTCACCTCTCTTGGGCAGAGACCCATATCTTGTTCCCTCCAGTCATGGTCAGGGTTTTCCAGGCTGCATAGTTCCCTGCCTACACTGAGTTATTCCTGGCATGCCAGACTGCCTAAACAGGCCAGTGTCTACTCTTTGCTTTCTTTTCAGATGCTGTAAACAACATAATTGCCCATACTTATAAATTACTGCACAGCTCTTCCTAAGCAAGCACATTTATTCTTCAAGTGAAAAGCATTACAGAGAAAACATTAAAAACAATAAAAGAACCTACACAAATGTTAATAAGCTTGACAGAGATCACCCCAACTCCAGCAAAGACTCTGGTAGGAGTCAGTCCTTCAGACTCCACCAAGGGATTTTCCTGTGGTTAAAACACCTGTAGCTCAGAACAAGCATTCCCATAAAATGGTTAGTACTTTCTTTAGACATCTTGGATCTTTGATCTTCAGATTCTGGGAATGGGTAAGCAGTAGACAATGATTCCCTCCTCATGGCATTGCTTCAACCTCCCCTTTGAGATTCCCCAGGCAAACCACTTGACACTGTCCAAAAGTCCATTCTTGTCTGGCCCATTGTTCAGTATAATCCTTTGAAGTTCATAACATTTCCCAGGGCTCACAATAATACATTACCTTTGCGTTTAATACAGTGGATGCCAAATAAACTTAATTCAATAAGGTTTTTTTAAGGATATTGCAGGAAATTGCCATATCTATCAGAGTTACCTCCTCTGCTTGGCCACACTCAAATAGCTTATGATTTAAAAGGCTTAATATGCCTCTCCTCCCTACCTCCACTTGCTGTTCATGTGCATCAACCATTCTTAAGGCGGTATCTCTAGCTATTATAAGCCATGCCTCTGAGTAGTTAGTACAGATAAGGGTACCACAGCCCTGGGCAACAAGTTATTTGTCATCCTCCCCTTGTTCCCAGGCAGCATAGATTTTATTCTAATAGATTTCCTAGATAAAGACTATCCAAGAGGAGGTTCCAGGCTCTGTCCTTGTAAACCTAAATGTTCTCTATTGAAATATAACCAAATTACTGAAGATTGTAACAAAGGTAGTGTGGACCATTGAAAATGGCACTGGAGTTGGTCTCTGGATTCTGTTCCCAGCTATGCCACTGACCTGCTGTGTGAGTTTGGGAAAATCAGAAGTTACTTCACCTCACTTCTCTGTAGTATAAAAAACACAATCCTTCCCTGTCGGGATGGTGGTTTCACTATGCAGAGTCTGACAAATCAGAGACCGATTTTGTGCATTTGAAAAACAGACAGTTTTTTTTTAACCACAAATGATATTTATTGAGTGGACGCTAGATCAATCTCTAATAACCTTAGTTGTTATCACTTACTAATATTTCTTGTGGGCTTTTTTTCATGGGCTCACTGCCCTACTTATGAAAGGGCTTTTCTTAATTGAAGATTCAGATTTCGCTGTCTGGAGATTTTTTTTCTTTTAATTTTTAGTTTGGGGTTGTTGTTTTTTTCAGTCCAACCAGATGTTTCTCCCTCCCAGTTTGTGTGTCTTTAGTTTAAGGCCTAGGGATTTGTGGCGGGCATGCTAACAAGAATCTTTAACTCATCTATTTTGGTACCCAGAAATTCTATAATTACTTTTGTTGCCTGTTCTTACTCCACACTGAAGTGTGACATAAGTGGGCATTCATCAAATTAAGGTTTGTAGACATGGTGAGTTAGTGTGCTGCAAGCCAGGGTGTGAATCTACAATGTACTAGCTTGCTGCGTGGACCCTGTTACTGCACAGTAGATGTTCCATAGTGCTCCATATCAGGGTTTACCTAGCCGGTTAGTGCATTGTAGCTTCTCACCCTGGCTTGCCTTGCACTAACTCCCCAGGTAGACAAGCTTTTTAGAGATTGTCCTTGTCCATCTGAAAAGTACCATTTGCAAGGAAGAAAAATGATCTCTTTCTTTGTTACTTTGCAGTGATGGTTCTGGATGACAACAAGCAACCAGTGAAGGCCAAGACTTTAGGAAATATTGTGGTAAAGTAAGCAAGTCAAAACTTACAAGGCCTCTTATAATTAAGAGGAGCTGCCTTACATGAAAACTGTTGAGAAGGGCAGACTATTATTTTTTGGCAAAGACATAAATAGCAGTGGCACATAAAGTAAGGAGGATGAGAGTAGAAGAGCACGGCTGTCTCTCATGTTGATTTTTAGGAATCTCTCTATCCTGCAACACTAATATGGGAGCAGTCAACTTGCCTGGTACAAAAGGGTTAAAACAAACTCTATACTGCTTTTTTTCTTTAATGGCAGACTTCTTTGCCACGTTTCTTGTCGGCACAAGGACAAGCCTAATTACTGTGATGCAAGAGAACACTGCCATGTCTCCGACTTCCTTCTGATTCCATGAAGGTCTGCAGGGTCACAGAATTACATGCTTGATTTCTAGGAGGATGAAGCAATGGCTGCTTGCTGCTTCTTTGTCTAGCTGGCTCAACCTAAAGCAGCATTTGCAAATTCTTTAGGTTTCCTCATCCTGCTAAAGCAAGAGCCCTTCTGTTATCTGAAAGTGTGGTTTGTATGGAGAGGATGGCTACAGGTCAAATGAGGAACATGTATTGAAAGACTCCATAGGCAAGAGAATCATTGTTGTTCTCCTTGCTGTGTCTTCTCTTTGATAACACTTGACAGCAAACTCCTTTGTCTCTCCAGTCTGGTATGTTTCATAAACATTAAAAGTCACTTTAAAATGCACACCCTTTTTTATACCTTCCCACTCCAGTCCCTAAAAGGAGATTTTAGGGACTTCAGCTTAAAGCCACTCTAAATACTAACTGCTTTTCTCTTATCTCCTTTTCTGCTTTCTCATAATCTTCAGCTTCCATTGTGTCTGCTCCCCTGGCACATGCCTGTTGCATTTCTTGGCTGATTTACAGGTAATACTTGGGATTACTGTCCTTTTGGTCAGCCAGGTACCTCTTTCTGACTTACAAGCTAGTATAACTCTCAGCAAATACAGGTCCCTATGACAATACACCAACTCACTGTTGTTTCAGTAAAAGCTAGGAGAGCAGTGCTAGGTCAAAAACATCTTTTAGAAGGCTGGTAAGTAATATACTGGAAGTTTAACATTGATCTGCACTAGAACTGATTGGAACATTTTTGGCTAAATGAAATTTCCTTGAGATGTGCTCAAAGTCAAAATGTTTTGTGCAGACATAACTGTTTCAACTAAGTTTTTGTTGGGAAATCTGGAGAGAAGGGGAAGGAAAGCATGACTGACTGACAGACTGTAGGTAGGTGGTTAGGGCATTGGTTGGAGATGTGGGAGACCCAGGTTCAAGTCCCTGTTTTCCCTGATTATGTGTGATCTGGGAGGAAAAACTCCACTTTGGTTCATGCAGAGCAAGCACTTGAACCTGGCTCTCCCACATTTCAAGCCAGTGCCTTAACTTTTGGGACATCCTACCTCTTTTCCTCCCCTAATTTAAAAGCTCATTTGCATTCAGAAAATGGACACTTTGACACATGGCTATCAGAAACTTTTCCCCTTAACAGTACCCATTGGGTGGCTCGCGCATCTTTTGCTCTGGGTACTGCTGCATGCAGGTATAAAGGGAAGAGCTGCTCCCACGCCCCTCTCAGTTCCTTCTTACTTCCCATAAAAGTCGTTGGAATCCCTTTTCATTACCAGAAGTTTTCTCTCTGCTCTGTGTATAAATATATATAATTGTAGTTAGTTAATAAGTTTGGTTATGTTCAATTTTATTATTGTTTTCCATGTTTTGGGGTTCTACCACCAGCACTTAGGAATGCCCCAGTTGCTGGGCTTCAAGCTAGTTGCTAGTGAGTGGTTGTTGTCTTAAGTGCCAGGGCGAAGCACATGTGAAAGACCGGTGCCAGATTTGCTGTAAATTCAAGCCTAAAACAAACAAGGATAGGGAGGCTAGGCTGAAGTTCCTGCTGATGGTACTCAGACCACCCTTGAGCTGTCCTGCTCCAACGTTGTCAGAGTCCCGGCACTCATCTCCTTCCCTTGTGCCTAGCAACAAGCATGTGTCTTCCAAAGAGGCACCCACCAGGGGAAGATATCCACCCTCAAAGCCTGAAAAGAGGGGTGAGAGGGAGTTGAGTAGAATATATCTGAAATCCAAGCATTTCTCCTCCAAATCAGTGCCTAAATCGGCACTGGACTTGACGGTGTCCTCTCTGGTGCCGAAGTGGCACCGTTGTGGCATAGCAGTAGACACACATGATCTGAACTTGAGGTTTCAGATGATTCAGTCTATTGTTATAGATCACAAAGCTCACCCAGTCACAACAGCATGAAACTGTTTGAGGCTTCTGGGGCATGTGGCCTTGTGTGGTTACGTGGTTCAAAATGCCAGTCTGCACCTCATAATTCTACAGGGTTGGCTACTCACCGTGCTGTCACTATCTGGACTTGCTAGTGAAGGTCCCTCTCATGCCCTCATCTCCCTAGGTTGATGAACAGTTCCAGCCAATGTATGTGTGGGAGTCCCTTTGCCTGCCTGCAACCGACGCTCATGTTAGTGATCAGTGTGTCTGCCCTTGGCTGGAGGACCCATCTGGATTCTCTACAGACTCAGAGTTTAGGTCCGCAGAGGAATTGGCTTTCGAAAGCTGTTAGATTGGCCTGCCAAGATTTTCCGCTACAGATCAAGGGAAACAACCTTTTAGTCCTCACAGAGAACACAGCAGCAATGTTTTACCTCAGCAAGCAGGGAGGAGCCCGCTCTGTCAAGACGCTACACTGCTTTGTGAGCTTTGCACTGCCAGCTCAATAAGCCTAGAAGCTTCTTATCTACTGGGGTCCAAAACAATCTGGCAGATCACCTGAGCAGATCGTTTACAAGACCCCATGAGTGGTCTCTTTGTCCACATCTGGCCAGATACATCTTCCATCGGTGGGGGTTTCCGCAAATAAATGTATTTGCGACAAGGATCAACAGAAAATGTCAGCAGTTCTGTTCCCTACAAGATCACAGCCTGGGTTCCCTGACAGATGCATTCTTACTACTGTGATCAGGCAGGCAGCATCACCGTTCCTTTTTTTTTGGTTCAACAGCTACTAGATTACTTATTGTACCTGAAACACTGAGGTTTGACCGCTAGTTCTGTCAAGGTATATCAGGCAGCTATTTCAGCATTTACTCCTGGGGGAATTCTGCGCCAAAAAAATAAAAAATTCAGCACCAAAAAAATTAAAAACTCTGCATACAATATTTTAAAATGCTACAAAATTCTGAAAATTTTATTTGTCAAAATAACACAATATAATCATGCCAGTTTCAATTATTTTGGTCATTTATTTCAAAATACCTGTCTGCAAGTATATCTGTACAATACAGACAACAAAGAAGATTCCCCCAGGAGTAGAAAGTTAAAGAAACCCTTACGACAACCCAGTTCCTGTTTCTCGGTTATGCTTTTACCAGGCGCCTCAGTCTGGGTGTGTCACACGTGCCAGCTCGGCACAGCTTGGGGGAAAACTCTGCCCCTCCAGTCTTTTAGTCAATTCTGTTTTTTTCACCCTGCCCTCGTAGGTTACCATATTTCAAGTTCCCAAATAGAGGATACTGCCAGGGCAAGAGGGAGTTGCAGGGGTACAATTGAGGGGTGCTGGAGGTGGCTGCACACGGCCCCCAAGCCCAGACACCTGCACCCCTTTCCCACCCAGAGTTCAGCTGTGGGGCCAGACACCCGCACCCCCTCCCTCCAAAGCCCAGCTTCAGGCTCCACTCCACACAGCATTTGTTATTGTCCTACTGGGCAAAAACGACCCATATTTATTGATGGGGGAGGCCAAATGTAAAGATTTGGTCGCCTCCTGGAACAGGTCTAGTCGCGCCCCCTTCTGGGAGGCCCCCCTCCCTTATCTTCTGTCTCCCCTCCTGGAAAGCAGTGGCCCCTCCCTGCAGATTTCAGCTGTTGCTTCTGCCTCTCCCTGGAGGGTGCAGCTTGCCAGCTCCAGCAGCTGTTGCTCAGGGATGGGGCCTGGCCACACCATGTGACCAAGCAGGGCCAGCAAACTCTGGCAGAAATCTGGGGGGGGGGCCACCTGACCCTGTGTTCCGGGCACTCTGCTTATTGTGCAGCCCTGGCTCACATGCCATCTCCTTTGTTCAGGGCGTGCTGGGAACTGCAGCCTGTGTACGCCTCTTGCATTGGTGCATTGCGATTTGGGGAGCTGGGCTCTGTCAGGTCCAGCAGTCCCTAGCAGCCAGTTCTGTGGGGAAAAAATGAAATTCTGTGCAGAACATTACTTCTGTGCAAATTCTGCATTGTGCAGTGATACAGAACTCCTCCAGGAGTAAGCTTTCCAGCCCAAAGTGGATAATTGGTCTGTTTTCTCTAACAACATGTTCACAGGGTTTTTGAAAGGGCTAGTCAAATTGTATCCTTGGTTGCAAGACCACCTTCTCCAAGCGATCTAAATTTAGTGCCTTCAAGACTTATGGGTTCCCCTGTTTGAGGCTTTGGCTACATCTATGAATGAAGATGGCAGTTTTGGTTGCCATCACCTTGGCCAGAAGAGTAGAATAGCTGCATGACTTAATAGATAGGCCTCTCTATACAATCTTCTTTAAGAACAAGGTTTACTTGCAGCCTCATCTGAGGTTTGTCCCAGAGGTGGTATCATCTTTCCATATCAGCTAGCCAATTTACTTATCTGCATTCTGCCCAAAGCCACAGTTGTAGATCGGCAACCTAGTTCTCAGTCAACCCATTTGCTTCCCGTTGTGGTGTTGCTCAGAACTTGAGAGACAATGCTAGTGTTGAGTGAGTTGTTCTCCAATCATGACCCGCCCTCCTAACCCTCTGTGTCGGAGGTCTGGCAAGATGAAACTGAGGGGGAACTGGGGCCGCTCTGTCCTTTATACCTGCATGCAGTGGTGTGTCCCAGCAGGAGGAGCTCAAGCTACCCAACGGGTACTACTGAGGGGAAAAGTTTCCAATGGCTGTACGCTGGGCAGACAGACATCAAGATTGGATTGGACATGTGCAGTACATCCAGAAC